CCTCTCAAAAACCTTGAAGATCCGACAAAAGTAAACTTATTGTTTCATGGGTATCGTAGACCCATATTTCTCTTTCGAATGGTGAAAACCGCACCTCTCTATCTATCACCGTTCCGGAGCTATAAGGTCAACACTGACCGGCCATTCTATTTTGAAATGGATAGTAGAAACAAACATAAATTAAAGCAGTCAGTGTGGTTTCACTTGCTGAAAATGCCAAAGAAAGTGAGGCAACTTTGGCTTAGAAAGTTGGAACTTTTACACGTCCTCACCTTTTCTTTTATAACTCTAAGAATTTCTATTCCGAGAAAATTGGTGGCACATGTTTTTGTAGAGAATTAAATGGCGCATCGTTTAAAAAAAGTTTGATCAGATTGCACAAAAAATGATGGAGTTATCGCAAAAACAAGAAAGGGCCATTTTACCTGAGACACTCAATACTCCTATTAATATCTGACACATAATAAGACTATATTATGCGAAAATAATCATTTTTTAACTCAGAAAAACAGATGTCCACCAGCTTTATGGCAAAATGTGACTGTAGCTGTTTCAAGAAGCTCATGTATTTAGCTAGAATAAGCACGAAAGAAGATTGTCGTTGATCTATGTGATATGAACAATATGCTTTTTCTCTTTAACTTTAAACAATTTTATTTATTTGTTGTTTTATTTCGTTTGATAGAACTTAAATGTATAAATATCGTTTGTAAAAGATAGACACACACATACATACATACATAAATTCTATAATCAATAAAAACGATCGGCAACAACGGTTACAATAACGGATAGACAATACACACAAGTACGTACTCTAAACAAGAGGGTATATTATCAAGCCTTTTTCTTCTTGTCGGTTTAGAAATAGTTGTAATCTTACTATATAATAATATTTCCATCTTTAGATGGTACCAACATGAAAAAGTTCAGTAAAATACCCTTTTTTTCTCGAGAGAGTACAAAAGAAAAACAAAAAACCAAAAAAAGGCTTTCACATTGCTATGATAAAACAATAATAAAACGTTAGGTTTACGAATGATGATGAGATTGATTGTATGGGCGGTAAATGATAACAGAGTGAAAGGAAGAACAGATAAAAAAAAGAACTTGAAGTTGAAAAGAAAAAACATTACTTATTTTAGAGAAACTGAAGTTTTTAATATCTATGCGTACCTGTAAAAGGTTCATTTTCCCTGTACAAATATTCGCTCTCACTTTTTCTCTCTCTCTCTCTCTTTCTTCCCACTATAGGTGGACAAAACAAACGAACAAACAAACAAAAAAAAAAAAACTGTTACTGTTTTCTTCTAGAGTACACATAGACACGTACATCTATTGCAGATATTTGAGAAATAAAAGTGCTCAATGAGCATACAAAAGAAAAAGAAAAGAAAAACAATCGCAATCTAGAATAATAGTAGCACATATTATATTACTGTCATTACACTAACATCGTGTTGCTTAGATGACAATAAAATATAAATGGGAGAGTTAAATCCTCGTTTCAAAAAAATGAAAAAAAGATCACAAAAACACATACACACTGCATGTCGAAATGAAAGCTACTAATGAGCTCCGAGTGTGATACCAAATGATGCCGATGGTGGCGGTGTATCAGAATGATGGTAAAAATAGGATCCTGTTGTCGATATATCACCAAAATAAGAGAAACGATTACCACATTGAGAGGTAGTAGTACTTGGTACTGTTTGTTGTAAAAATAACGGTGGATATTGATTATGATTGTTATCTTTGTTATTATGACCGTTCCAACATGGTTCTTCTTCGTCAAACTAGAAAGAAACGAAAAAAGTTCATTAGTTAAAGTTAAGGGCTACCACTGAAAGAAACATATTTTCGTTCTAAAACTTTTGATCGTAATGAAATTTTCAAAAAAGAATGTGTCTCTTATCGTAGAAGGATGGCGCTAGAATTTTGAGCCTAAATGTTGACTTTTCTCGGAATTATCTTAATAGTAATGGTAAAAAAGGTGTTTGTGTGGCAAAGACCTCTCTGCCGTTTTACGTGCTAAAACGGCTCAGGATGTTCTCAGGCTTGGTGCTACAACTTAAGGGCCCCCCATCCTCAGAAATGGTGATGGACCTCGCACAACTCTTTATGACCTTGCATTAAAACGTTACAGACATTTTCCTAGAAGTCCTAAAATTGAGTATTTTATAGTGTTTAGTACAGCGTTTTCTCTCTATAAGAGTTACACCTGAAGCGTGTCCCAAGATTTTTAATAGCAGTTTGTCGTAGAGAGTTTATTCTTTTTTTGTTTAAGAGAGAAAAAGAAACTACATGGACTGATCGGCGTCGATTTTTGAATTAGGCCTTAGTTTCTTGTCAAACTGAGGAGTTTTAGAAAACCAGGAAGGATCTTTCCGGTTTTGGAGATTGTTGATTACCTGGAAAATCAATAAAGGCTTAAGTGAAAACTCGGCGCCGGTCAGTTCATGTAGTTAGGTGTCTAGTTTAAAATAAAACAGACCCGAACTCTCCAACTTGAAGTATATTAAAAAATTTTGGGACACACTTTAGGATCCTTTTTGGACCTTGATCTCTGGACAACTCCTAAACCGTAAGACTTGGAGACAAAAAAAATTTTCATTTCTGTAACTCATTGTGCCTAACATTTATGGAAAGTTTCGTCAGGATCGGATGTACGGTGTCAGAGATAATTTTTGAGAAGGGGGGCCCTGACCTTAACAGAGCCGAAGTTTTGTTTTTCAATCTAGTTCTTGAAAAAAATGAAGTTTCCCGAAAAAGAAGATGAAAATTTTTTCAACTGTTTTGGAAAAACTAAACAGAAAAACAATCCGAAAACTTTTTAATAGAATGTCACGTCGAGTTGTACTATGTTTCATTTTCATCAGGAAAGATTGTTGTATAAATCTACGCATTTAGAAAATAGTTTAATTGTATGAGTAACGTAGAAAAAAACTAGAATTCGAATAGTTCATCTTTCGAGATTTCCAAAAAAACTTTCTCATCAAAACATGAAAATTTATCTTTGGAGCAGAAAGCGAACACTCTCGACTATTCAACGTATGTACAAATCTCAAAATCAATAATTTTGATAAAAACTGACTTTTTTGATAGAGGGGTGCCTGAAACGCCAATATCCTGATATGTTTTCTTTATAGAGAAGTCAGAAAAAAAGGTATGCCATATCCAATGTTCCTACTTGCTTGAATGCTAATCAAACTTACATTTTGTAAACTTGTATTTGATTGTGATAAGCCATTTTTACCATTATGAGAGTGACGGTTATTTGCTAAGAGACTTGCTTCGATAGAAGCGACCATATCTAAATTGATTAAATCTTTTGAATTTTCATTGTTAACAAATGATGTACGATCAACATCAACATTCAGATTTGTTTCAATTTCAATTAATGACGGTAATGATGAATTTTTCGTGGAAAATGATAAGTTCTCTTCATTTTCTATTAATAAATAAAGAAAAACACGTAAATAGAGAGATCTTTTAGAAATTTGTTCAATACTTACTACCAATAGTGGATAATACAGATATACTTCGACTATCCGACTGTAATAAAGATGATGAACCGACTGATGCAAGACAATAATTACCTAATTCCTGAAATAAGGCGGATATATCATAATTCGTAGACGCTCTTCAGAAATGGACGCAATTTTCTAACCGTTGTCTGAATTGTCTGATGATTATTATTATTTCTATAATTATCGCTAGTGAAAAATGACTGTTGATCATTTCTAAAACTACGAGAATAAATGTAAACGTTTAGAAATAAGACATGATAAAAGAGAAGGATATGTTTACTTTTGTGATGCAGGTGTCAGACGTGGTTGTTGTTGTTGAATATGAGACATGGGAGAATAAAAACCATCGGTAGAGTTTGTCGAAAATAAATGACCGAAATTTACTTGTTGTGAACAATTTTTATCACCGGTTGGAATAAAAGCAGCTAAAAATGAATAAGAAAAAGCAAACATAGGTTGTACTAATATATTACTTTCTCTACTTAATAATTATCTAGCTTTATTCGCTGAATAAATTACTTTTCGGCGTGGTCACGTAACTCTGCTACCGTAGTGAAATTCCGTTACCAAATTTTGAAGTTTTATTCTTCTTCTTATTTTTTAATGAAGCAACTCTCTGGGTACAACTGTAGAGCAAACTTTTCTGAATCAAATAAAATGTGTCCAGATTCTACGTGATCTTTCATTTATGAAATACAAAGAAAGTAGGGAATACCCTTTTCTAACTTTGTTTTGAGAAAGTAGCATTTAGTATTTTCTTTATATTTCCTAAATGAAAGATCACGCAGAATTTGGATACATTTCATTTGATTCAGAAAAGTTTGCTCTACAGTTGTACCCTGAGAACTGCTTCATTAAAAAATAAGAAGAATAAAACTTCAAAATTTGGTGACGGAATTCACTATGGTAGCAGAGTTATGTGCCTACGACGTTTTTCTACATCTTTTAACAATAAACAGTTTTTGCTGTGTATATTCTACTATTCAACATCATTCATCGGATAGACAAGAAAAGAATCTCAGCAAAGATTATCAAATCTTCTTACCGTTCATGCCAATCATTTTGTTAACTAAATCAATGTACCCATCTTCATGAATTTTTGATTTATTGCATGTTGAATCGAGTGTCAATGAATGCTAGAAAGACAAAAGAAAAATGTAACATAAAAGTTTTTTTATGAAATATCTTTTCATACATTTGTATAATTTTGCTGTAGTTCAAAATTTGTATTTTTTAGTTGATGTATAAAATTATTTCGTTGTTGATTGCTACTATCAATCATTGATGGAGGAACAGAATGAAGCGTTTGATAAACAGATGGACGAGTGATGGATTGTGGTTGCTGTAAGAGTGGAGCAGTTGATTGACATTCACGTGGTGAATGATAGATATGAGATGGTTGATGGTGTTGCTGCTGATGATAAATGGGAGTAGTCAGAGGCATCTATGAAAAAGATTGTAGAAGAAGAAACTTTACATACTGCAGAGAAAAAACTGTTTTTCTTTTGAATATGTTCAATAATTTCTTGTCTTACCATAGATTGTTGTTGATGTGATGATGGTGACATTTGCACTGTGACAAGATGTGGATTGCGTTGTTGTGTTATTGGTTGATGTTGATAGTAGGCTTGTACTTGGGCTCGATTAATTAACTCTTGTGCAGCTTCGGCAACAATTTGAGTACTCGATGTTACGGTAGGAAGAATCATTGGTGGTGCTTGTAATGTTTGTGAGACAGGTATTTGTTGTAAATGATGATAATGATGGTGATGGTAATGTTGTTGCTGTGTAAGAAAATTGTCTGTTTGAGAAGAATGAATTGGAAGTGTGGGAAGCCAAGAGGGTATTAAACCGTTTAATGGATTTGTTGTTGTTGTTAATGCTAGAGAAGAGGATAGCAATGATTGATATTGTTGTACTGGTGTAGGAGAAGGAATTGATTGTTGTCCTGTTATTGAAGTCGGTGATGATGGTTGTAATTGAAGACAGGCACGTCGATTTCTTGTACGAAATTTGTCTATTTCTTGTTTTGAATGTGCAAATGTGCAACGTAAACTTCTTGGACATGAACCTTTTTGAGTGAAATCACGACACATCGATATTTTATATTTAGAAACAGACGTTGACGATGATATACCACTTGAACTTGAGGGATCCGTGCCATCTAAAACGAAGAAAATATATTCAAGTTAGATGTCAAAGTCTGATAGGAAAGCAACACGCAAAACATCGCATTTTCACAGAATTAAAATTTATCCAAATTCGTAAGTTCTCTCACCATCAACAGATATCGCTATAGTTAAAAATCTTAATCTCTAATAGTCTATTATTACAGCAGTGTAGAAAAGGAGAGTTACCTCTTAAAAAAACACTTCAACTCAATGCTCAAAATAGATCAAATAATTAACATAAAACTTTCTCTCTTCTTCTTTGCCTATCCTTCAGAAGATATGTGCACAATATCATTCCTTTACTACAACTCTTTTATTCTTTAGTTTGATGTATGCAAATTTATTATTCATTCAATCAGAAATCCGATCAAGGATCTTAACAGGATTACCACCGATATATTGACTCTTTGAGACACTTTATGTGCACCGCAAGCAACGTTTCGATATAACTTTGGAAAAGTGGGAGAAGTTTTATGGAACAATTCTAAAAATTTAGCTGATAACCAAAAAAAAGGGCATTTAACTTTTTTTTTTAGTAGGAGTAAATCTTTCAAAATGAACGGAGTAATTGTTTCAAACAAGGTGAGGGAATTCCTCCACCTTCCACCACCTAATCGAAATCGCTGACCGAGAGGTCAAGTTCATATTTGTAACAGAAATAGACAATTATTGCAGAATTCAACTTCAACTCCTTTTCATGTTCGATAAGCACCTTTTTAATCTTGTTGAAGGAATGACGTTTACGTTTGCAGATTATATGTCAATGTTGAACAAATGTTAACATCGCAGTATAGAACAAAAACAAAAACCCGTGCTGTGACAAGCCAAACAAAATCGAAGATATAAAAATTTCGAATGAGAAAATCTAGACTCAACTCCGAGTTAGTAAAACGTAACTCCAACTTCACTGAAAAAAGCTCAGCTTCCGAATTAGACTTGCCTATCTCTGATTCGTAAAATTTTGCTTCGAAAATTATGCTCATATATTGTCGATAGTATTCAAAGATGAATACGTGGGTGATGCATTTGACGTTAATCTTCACTCTTCAATGGTCACTGAGTTTCAGAGTTAGCTGGAAATACTGTAAAACACATTGAGAAATATTTACTAAAAATGGCGATTGTTTTTTAACTGAGTTGTGAATTTTTTTCAAAAAAAAATGCAAAAGTTTAAAAATAACCTGGGATCACTGTACAACCCAATGAGAGTTCAACTTCAGACTTCAAAAGTTTCCATTAATGAGTTTAAAGAATTTCTTCTCTTATATAGGCTAGGAGATGCATCCAATTGAGGATCAAAATGATAAAATGTACATATATCCTAAACAATTTAGCGTATTGTGCAAACACACACACACACACACACACTCAAAACAGAAAGTCATAGAACTCATTTAAGTGTACTTTACAGGTATGACTCTCATGTTGGCTGCTATTGTACATTTCCTTAAAGTACAAGTGTTGTATAAAACGAATGATTTCTTTTTCGAAGAAAAACCGTTATAAGACTTCATACGTACATAATGAATCACTACCACATCCACCAAGTGGAGATGTGGCTAATGATGACGATGATGATTGTTGTTGATGATTTTGCTGTTTTGATGAATCATTATAATCGATTAATGCTTGTAAAATTGATTTTGATGAATTCAATGCTTGACATAAAAATTGCCAGGATGTATTTAATTCTCGACTTTTAACCATTGTACCGTTACTACCTAATATTGGTGACATCGAGTCAAAATGTCTAAACAAAGCAAAGATTAAATTTCATATAGAAAAGATATGAAGAGCGATAATGTGTAAAAGAACGATTAAAAAATCAAATTATTAAATTCAGTCCATATATCAACGAATAAACGTATTTCTTGCTATAATAATATAACTATTTACTAACCGTATGGGTGATGTCGATGTTAACTCTGATTCATATGAAATTTTCTCAAGAAATTCAAAATCAGGTATTAGTCGTTGTAAATAATGTGGATCACCATTTCGTGCTATAACCATTTGAAATTCTTTAATAGATTTATCAAATGAATCGGATGTAATCATTTTTTCAATAATTGATTCTAATTGTTGTTTATGTTGTGTATCACCATACAATAAGGATGACCATTGTTCAGGTGAAATATGTAGACCTTGTTCTTGTGCAATGGCAATGATTTGTGCATCATGTTCACTTCGTAATTTTTCATAGGTACGATATTGTATTTTTAATTGCATTAACGATGATTCATCTTCACGTTTTTGAACCTAGAATAATAATTTTTAGAATAAATGAAAACAAAAACGAGAAAAATGTATATTATTTTTACTTTAAAACATGATGCACGATATAATAATTGTACAACATGTCCAACACTTGTTTTCGATGCTCTTGGATATTGTGGTGCTAATTTTTGAACAACAAATAAAACTAAAACTTTTCGCGATAGAGCAGAACCATCCATTAACGCTAATAATATTAATTTCAATACTTCTTCTTGCATAGCTAAATTAAGAAATAATAATTTTAAACTTCACAAAAAACAGAGTAGTTTTTCTTCTAAAATTTTATACCTGGTCCAAGAAACTGACATCCTCTCGCTCTCACGGCTGACCAGAGTGTAGCTGTTATTTGTTGTGGATTTTGATGATTTAATAACAAATCATCAATTATTTGTTCTCCTAAACTTCGAATTTGTCGTAATGCACGAATTCGTCCATCTAATTCCAAATAGGAACAATTTATTAATGAAAATAATTTATGAACTACTAGACGATTTAATGCACATACAATCTCTTTTCCTGGAAATAAATAAAAAACATTTGATGATAAAGAGTAACACATACGGTCATAGTTAAAGAAACATATCAAATAATAAACTTGAGGGCAATATCTAGTACCGTTGAAATATTTAAAGTTAGTAGAAACAAACGATATCTCAGGAATGCATCATCTTGTTCAACTACTTATTTTGCATTGTATTTCTTTTATAATTTTCCCGAATGACAAGATGCTCACTGCTCTGAGATGTCTCATATTAAAAAGAAAACTGTGTTTTTGAGCATTCTGAGGTGTATCTACACTCTACACGATCTTTTGTTCAGAGAATATGATAGAAATATAAACATCTATTTCTATAGAGTACGGAATATATTATCAGTACACTTTTCTTTTATATTTCTCGGAATGGAGAGACGTCCAGTG